TATACGTAATATACATGTTTTTATCTAAAAAAAAAGAAGTTAAGTTTTGTTTCCCACATGACTTAGACCTTATTGATGTAGACCTTATTGATGTTTGAACATGCAATTAATTATAGATGACATTATATATTCAGGCAGCACCCACATGGGGCACCTCTAAGATAGTAATATTCTTTTTTGATTAAAAAGGGTATACTTTTCGCATGTGTTTTGTTTTAAAATAAAAAAAAATGTTACTTTTTCCCCTTCAGTGTTCTAGATCAGATGCCTAATTCCGGTCATTGTTTGGGGTTGAATGGTGTTTTTTGTCTGGCTGCGGCCCCCGAGCCCATGGTTTTTATGTGGGTTTCTTTATTTCGTTGCAAAGGGATTGGGTTGCTATTATCTTTTGACTTTCCCACTTCTCTCTTTGTTGGAGGAAATCTTATCCTCCCATTGGTTATAGTACTCTTCTACCTAATAAATTTCTTATTTTATCAATAAAAAAGGAATTTCATGTTGTTGCAGCATATTCGTAAATATTTGCCAGAGTTGCTCTCTCTAATTTCTGAGTTGTGGTCATCATTCTGTGTGCCAGCTGCCAATCGCCCTTCACGTGGACTTCCGGTAATTTCTTTTGTTGTTTACGTGTTACGAGGCTATCTGCAAGTCTTATGTTGATTATAAATGCTTTTACACTTGTGCATTCATAATTCTCTCTCGTGTGTATTAGGTTTTGCATCTAGTGGAGCAGCTTTGTTTGGCTCTCAACGATGAGTTCAGGACATATCTTCCTGATATCCTTCCTTGTTGCATTCAAGTTCTAAGTGATGCAGAAAGGTGTAATGATTACACCTATGTCCTAGATATACTTCACACCCTTGAGGTGTTTGGCGGTTAGTACTTGTTTCTAGACATGACTTTGGGTTACTACTTAGCTTGTGACTTGTTGAACTTCTGCAATGTCGGTCGGAAAAGAGTGCATGGAAACTGGAAAAAATTGGTCCATATTGGATATAATATATTTAGAATCTATAACAAAATGAAGTAGAAATACTGAAGTAATTTGGGAGAAGGGTAGATAATGGATATGTTTTTCTTTAAGATAAAAATAACCTAAGCAGGACGGGGAATAGAAGGAAAATTGATCAAGTATCCTCACACAAAAAAGAAGCACAGTAAATAAAGAATAAAGCGGAAAGGAGAGTGATTTTTGTGTAAGACAGCCTCCCAATTCTTTGGCAAAGTGGGTAAAGCTAATCCTTGAAGATACCCTGTGCTTTAGCCCATAAATTAGCACGATGATGAAAAATTTTAGTTACATTCTGACCATAAAATTCAACATCCAGCAGAAGGTGAGCCTCTCCATATCAAGATGCTCTTCATTCTTGACACAACTTCTCCAAATAGGTGAAAAGAGCACTTCAAAAATGGGTGGGCAAATCCAACATTTGACGAAGAGGGAAAACAACTTATTCCAAAGTGTTGAAACCACCTTGAAGTGCAAGAATGTGGTTATTAGACAACTATCCAGGGGAATATCTC